TGGGTTTGATTGAAAGCTGCAGCTTATAGCATACAGGATCACTTTTCACGACACGGCCAGGGTAAGCCTTCCCCCCGGGTTTCAGCTGCTAGAGCCACATTTTAGCCAGCAGACACATTCAGCCGTAGCTAAGTGCCTCTGTTTCAGACTCTCACTAGTCTGAGAGGTATGTGGATAGACTTAAGAGAGTCGGATAGATTCAAGAGAGTCATAGTTACTCCCGCCGTTTACCCGCGCTTATTTGAATTTCTTCACTTTGACATTAAGAAAAGACTGACGGCGCGACTTAAAAAACTGACTGCGTGACTTAAGAAAAAACTGACGGCGCGACTTAAGAAATGACTGACGTCGCGACTTAAGAAAGACTGATGGCGCGACCTAAGAAACTACTTAAGCGGCGCGACTTAAGAAAAGACTGACGACGCGACTTAATAAAAGACTGACGGCGCGACTTAAGCCCGCGGCGCGACTGCGAAATCCAGTCTGAAAACAGTATGCGGCGCGACTTGCATGCAAAGTCTTTTCTTAAGTCGCGGACCTCGCCCGGGTAAGTAGGTAGAAACTGACACGATTAAGCGAGTAGCTTAAAAATTCTTTATCGATTTTGCCGTGAAGACAAATGAAAATGGTCATGCTCAAAAATTGTCAATTTGGACGATCAAATAAGCGCTTTTTCTCAATTTTGCACTCGTTGTGCGTATACAGCGCGCCACTATTCGTTGCGGCTTTTCGAATGGAATTTTAACTTCTACATATGAAGGCAGATAAATTTTACTTTGGTATGAGTAGTTTTTTTTTATTTTTCTGATTTTTTTTGTTTGATGCAATGACAAAAGTTCGTCAAAATGGGTACTCCCAATTGTTCGGATCTGGTCGGTCAAAAGCAGAAAGCTTTGGTTTTTTACTAATTATGCGAAATTGCCAACAGACCCAAATTTTGTTCTAATGGGCTGACTAGGCTGAATACTTGCGAGTAAGCCTTCCTTTGCACACCCCGGATTCTAAATCAAAAACTATTATGCTAAAATCTGGGATGAAATTCAATGTGTTGCCAGATAATGTGAAGTGAGTTACAGATTCAATTCATGTTTAAATGAAAAAAATCACCAGGAAAACAAAGGTTTGTGGATACTTAAAAATTGTCAACATATGGCTTACTTAAAAGCCGATAACTAGTAAGGAGAGACAGAAAATAAAAGTTGGTTAACCTGCAAAAAAATATATTTTAAACCCAATATTCGTTCAGTAGTCAAATTTTGAAGTCAAGGTGGCTCGAAAGAATATGACCCAATCCTTATCCGTTTCTTTGCTCCAGAATTGATTATGCATCTGTTGCAAACTTCATATAATGAGACAAATTTTTCGTCGTTACTGAGAACTAAATGATGCAGATAAATAAACAAATATTGCCCGTAGACGCAATTTTTTATGTGAAACAAAAATGTCTAGAAATGATGTCTATATATGATGTCTATAAACTGGATTTTGATCGCCCTCCCTGTGGCATCTACTAAAGAATTGCCACCCCTATAAATTTAAAAGCGGTGGAATCCCTCATACGCGAAGGAACGAATGCGCGAAAATAAAAATCAGCCAATCAGATTTCAGTAATCTAAAATTTGGAAAGAAAGTAAACATTTCCAGGGACTGAATATTGATATTGACCGAAAAAGAAAACGACAGAAAAATGCAACATTTCCAAACTGTCACTGACTGCCGCCGAATTGGAACAAATTTTATATTTCAGGGGCCGTTTCGTTATGAAAGAAGCAAAATATTGCTTCATTTATTTCATTTTAATTGAATGGCTTCTTTTTAAAAATTGACTTTCGGCTAATTTTGTTTTCGGTAATTCGCTCACGAGTTTTTTTTTGCCCATTGACTTCTTTTTAAAAATTGACTTTGGGCTAATTTTGTTTTCGGTCGTTCGCTCACGAGTTTTTTTTGCCCTTTGACTTCTTTTTAAAAATTGACTTTCGGCTAATTTTGTTTTCGGTCGTTCGCTCACGAGTTTTTTTTGCCCATTTGGTCTTTCGCGCATGAGAATAGCCCCCTATAAAAGCAGTTAGGAGCACTATAGTGCGGAATCCCTCATACGCGTTCATTATAAAATGTTTATGCGCGAAAATGAAAATAAGCCAATTAGGTTTCAGTAATCCAAAATTTGGAAAGGAAGCGCGAAAATCTGAACGAAAGTAAAAATTTCAAGGGACTTAATATTGATATTGGCCGAATATAAAAACGACAGAAAATATGCAAAATTTTCGAATTGTCACTAACCGCCCCCTAATAGGAACAAATTTTGTATTCCAAGGGTTTCCTAATGAAAGAAGCAAGACATTCCTTCGTTTAATGCATCTTAATTGAATGGCAATTGGTTCTTTTTGTAAAAATTGACTTTCGGCTTATTTTGTTTTCCGTCCTTCGCCTACGAGTTTTTCCCATTCGGTCCTTCGCGTATGAGGTCCTTCGCGTATGAGAATAGCCCCCGCACTGCTTTCTATTTAAAATTCGAATTCTGCTGCAATCTGATTTGTCAAAAGTTTGGTCAAAATAATCTATTTAATAGAAATAATAATAATCATTATAAAATGTTTCCAAGTGAAGTCATCGCACGTGAAGAATTACAAATGAAGAATTTTTTAACAACAACATCACTTGAGAGAGCGCCGTAAGACTAAGTTCAGCCTGTTTTTAAAAATTGCCCCGCCTTTCTTGAAAAAAAGGGGGAGCTATTGTTTAGTAGATCTCAAGATTTTTTTAGCCTAAAAAGATAGATAACAATTGTTTGAGCCTGTTTTTCTTGCTTTTGATATGCGAAATTGACAATAAAAATTGTTGGTAACTTGTACACCTTAGTTCTTTAAGTATCCGAAACATTGAAACACGTTACTGTTTTTCGCCGGGAGCAAAAACACACAGTAACAATGAGCCATGAGTAGTTTGAACGGTTCAGTACTACATGTACCAAGACTTACCTCTACTACAAAGAAAAATCAATCCCGCTTGTTCAAAAACTGTTGACCTCGAAATCATATTGGTCAAAAATTGTTTCCCCTTTTTTCATCATGCCATCCCGACACCCTATAAAAACACAAAGGGTCGTTTAGCGCTTATTATGGTTTGAATAGTACTAAAGTGCTGGCCTTAAATCAATTTGGAACGCATTAACTTGCCGCTTATGAGTGTTCTAAAAAACGCAACTTATTGCGCGTTAATTATGCCAATTTGGTCAAACTAGCAATTTTTAAACCCATGTACATTTACAAAAAAAAGGTACTAGTTTACTTGTTTGGTCCCTCAAAACAAAAATGCAGTGGTTCCTAATAAAAACCAAGAAACAATATGTTGCTAATTCTTACAGTAAGCATTTTTATTTCTCTATATTGCTCTGTCCAAACGTGCCTAGCTAGTCAAGCGGGTACGAAGCCGGTCGCCAACCCCAAGGAGTAGATTCAAATGCTGTGATGGCTTTTCTTTTTAGAAAATGGGCGGGACCAATCATCTAAATTAGTTTTGTCACGAGACCAAACAAGTATACTAGTAACCAAAAAATGAACACAGTTAAAATTTTTCTTAGAGTTTTGACACCGTTATTTTTTGGATGGTATAAAAAATTCCTTAAAAACTTGATAATTAGTCAAAAAATGACTGAATAAAAAAAACACCGCAAGCATAATTATTCTGCACTTTTTTTTGAAAAACCGAACAAAAAAAGCAAAATAATGAACGCCATAGTCATCATTGTGTAGCTATCTTGCCAACACAGGGCATACTTCTGTAGAAAGTTTAGATCCAGTTATCACCGCAGTGCGAAGCGCACCCTGCGTTAGTCAGCTTGGATTTACTTAACCTCCCGTTATGGTATCTAAAAAAGAATTGCCATCCCTATAAACAAAAACAGTAAGCTAGCAATAGAGCGTTCTATTCATAATTTAGGTTTTGCTGCTTTCTGATTGGTCAAAAACTCAACTGACTTAACCTACTTAACAATTACCCCCTTCTTAAAGGGTTGTAATTGTTAAATAGATCCGCCAATGGAGTAGTATTTGACCAATTGAACACTTTTGGTACTAAAACGACAGTTTTTTTTGTTTTGGTACTAATTTATGCCCACCATCTGAAGATATCATGTAGAGTTCAAGATAGCAAACTAAAGCATTAAACATCAAAATCAAACGCAGTCGCGTATGAAATATTTCAATGGGATGGAAGCGTGACAAAAAACAGTCAGCGGCGGCGTCACGCACGCGTTTAGCTTAACCTACGCGCACGCGTTTTTCATTTTTTGCGGTGTTTCATTGTCTTGTTTTCAGGCAGTCGTTTATTTTAAGTTTCTGATGGTAAAATTAGGACCAGTTTAATTTACAGAATTATGAAATTGCGCTGAATGAATTCTGATATTGCTGAAATACAAAAAGGCAGAAAGTGATAAAAAGGCGATAGTTGGGTCCTTTAAACTTAGATGGGTCCCTGAAAAAAAAATTGATGACCTCAAAATTTTCAAAAACATGATTCGCATTTGTTTACTTTCGTTCTTAAAATTTTCACAAAAGTTGCGGAACCATCTTTTATAATTGCTTTTTCCTGGAACCAGAGGCAGATCTAGGATTTCCTCGAGGGGAGGGGGCTAATTTTTAAAAATGTTGACCAAAAAATCATGTTTTGTTCGGAGCGCGCTTCTCCGTAAGTTAGTATGTTTTGGCGCCAAAGACGTCTTTAGAAAATTTTTAGGGTTGTTCGGCGAAAATTGGATCATATAAAATAATACCAAAGAGGGGACCTTTGGTTTGTAAAAAAGACGAATCCACCTCCCTCCCCCTATTAATTAATCCGCCCCTGCCTGGGAACCAATTATCATACTTGTTCCTTAAAAAATTATTGAAAAGTATTAAATGCCACTTTTCAGTAATTCAGGTTTTCAAATTTTTGAAAAAAATTGGAATAATTTTGAAGACAAACAAAATCTCAAAATAGAATAAAATAGATAAACTACTGACCTGCAACGGCTATGGTAGAAACTACAGGGGTCAGCATCCGCCACAAACTTGTCAGGAACATTTTCACAAATTTCTCCCAATTTTGAACAAAATAATGCAGATCAAAGCAAAATTTTCTCAAGACCGAAATCCACTAACGGATGGTATGGACTAATTAGAATGGTAAAATAAACACAAAAATAATCTCTTGAAAGAATTTCAACTTAAATTTGCAGAAATGCAAATTTACTTAAAGCTCAAGTTGAAAATAAATTGAGCTCCTGAAACTAGGAGTGTGCCCAAAAAATAGGGTACGAAACAAGAGTCAGAAACATGATAGAAACTTTAAAGAGGATTTGAACAGCAGAGCCAATATTATTCCTCTGATTGCTCCTGTTATCTTGGTTATCGAGGGTTTTAGTAAGATTTGGATTGAAATGGCAAGATTGAGACATATAAGCTCTGAAGCACCTCTGTAGACTAATAAAAGCTTTAATTCGTTTGAATGAATTTTCATAAATCATTTCTTTCCGTTTTTGCAAGATTTTGACTTTTAAGCAGTAGCGTACCGAGGGGACAGGGGCGGAGGAACACCCACCCATTCTGCTTGCCAAGTTTTCCAAAAGGTCTCAAGCTTGGTTATATTTTATGTCAACACCATTTGCTACTGACTGACTACCCAAATTGTTCTTGAAAGCGCCTTCGGTGCCAAATTGATACTAATTTTAACGAATATCATAAAGCCTGAATTGTTGCTACAATTGGACAGTCTGTGTTTTCGACAGATCTCAAAAACTCAAAAAAGATTGACCTAAAAATAAGTCGAATAGGTGTTTCAAAAAATCGCACCGCCGTCAAAATTCTTGTGCCTGTCACTCTCCAAAGATGACCAAATTGAAGTTTCATCTTATATTTATAATCAAATTTATAATTTACAACGAGATGTTTCTTTTCTGTTTCTAGGTTTTTAATTTTTATTGTATTCAAGATCCAGTTGTAAATTTTTGTTCTCAAGGGCAGACCGGTCTTAAAATATTTTTCAAAGCACCCGGGTCGAGATGCTCGACTTATTATTCGACTTTAAAAGTCGAGAAGATGCAGTTGTTCAACTGAAAATCCGCAGTCAAAAAGCGATTTTAAGTCGAGCACGAAGTCGAAACACAACCAGTTTTGGCCATGAAAATCAAAACCTAGGTTATAGTCAAAACATACTGAACTTTGGTCGAGCCCAGTCGAAACATAGGTCAAACCCACTTGAAACATATTTCGAACGCAGTCGAAACATAGGTCGAGCATAACCTAATTTTCAAACAAAAGTGCTCGACTTATTATTCGACTTTGAAAGTCGAGAAAGTGCAGTTGTTCGACTAAAAAACCGCGGTCGAGGAGTGATGTTAAGTTGAGAACAAAGTAGAAAATTACCCAACTTTGGTCAAGAAAGTCGAAACTTGCGTCGAGGTAAAATCAAAACATACTTGATTTTAGTAGAGAAAGCGGAAACATAGGTCCAGCACAGTTGAAACATACTCCATTTTGGTCAAGCACAGTCAAAACATAGGTCAAGCTCAGTAAAAAATTAATTCGAGCGCATTCGAAACATAAGTTGAGCACAGTCGAAACAGAGGTCAAGCACGTGATGCGGCAATTCGTGGGAAGCGACAATTAGCAGCACGATTAATTGATAAGTTTTGAAAGAAATTTCTTTTTGAAATGAAATTACAGTAAAGATAAGGGTAATTGAACATTAGTAGCATCTAAAACACTTTTTTTCTATTCATTTGTTTCAGTTTCTTCTCGCAAATCACTGCACTTAATAATAATGTTATGCCTTTAAATTTTTTCATGAGCGAGCGAGGAAAACAGCAACCTGTCCAAAATGGAGAAACTTACAATCTAAACCCTACAACAATATGACTGATAAATCCCGCTGACGATGCGTGAAGAGATCGCATAAAGCTTCTGTTGTCACCAACGCAGATGAAATAGTCAGAACATTTGGAGAAAATGGTCACAAAAAAAATTCATGCAAAAAGTGAGTGAAAGGTTCAAAAATTTTGACACGTGCGCGAACTTAAACTTTCAAAATTAAAACTTTTCTATTTATAATTCGTTTTAAAACGTTAAAATAGCATGACTACAAGTGTGCGTTTCTGTTGGGGGAATCGACCACACCCAGTGGAAAAAAGTAATCCCTCCAACAGCCTAATTTCTTACAGACAGGCGTATTTTTAGGATGTTAAAAAAATTTCGTAGCTTGTTATAAAACTGCAAGAATTTCAGGGTTGAACGTGCTATCAATTCGAAAGGAAAATTAACATTGAAGCCTCCCAAAAAGGAAGAAAAATTTATCCGGGCCTTCAGATGAAGATGGGTTGTGCTCACCTAACCATTAACCAATTTATCCAATTCCTGAGAAAAGAACAAAATCTGTCGAAGAACAAATTGTCAAAAAAACGCCAGAGGAACTGCCGCCAAGGTGGCAAAATATGAAAACAGCCAAGGCAAGTTAGTTGAACCCCTTTAATATGACAGCAACAATGATGTTTTCAATCAACTTGAGGGCTTCTCGTTCAATTTTGATTTTTAGTTTCTTTGTTCTTTATTTTAATTCTTTCGTGTAACTTTTTTTGATCTGATCAAAATTTTTACCGCTACTATTTTTCGCGTCTGCATATAGCCTTTTTTTAAGAAATTGTTACGAACGGTCGCTCGCGACGAATTGTCGCCATCCCGGTCGAGCACAACCTAAATTTTCATATATAAATTCAAACTAGAAACAAAAAGCAGTCAATCAGTAAAATCCAAATTTGTAATCAATTGAATTAAAATGGTTTAAGACAAGTAACTGTTGCAAATAGTTTGCTACTACATGCTAATCATAGGACTCAAAGGGTAATCTTGCTAATTTTTGTTTAAAATTGCTTAACAAAAAATGTGAGACAGGTTCCAAGACTGACCTTCAATTGGCGAAAATGCAAGTCATACAATTTTAGAATTGGAGATAATAGAAAAACCCTATTCATGCAATTTCATACCATGAAAATTGTATTTATAACAATTTTTTCAAAAAAGGCAATTTCTTCTACATCCACAATATTTTTAAATCGAAATGAAGAATATTGAAAAATGATACCCTGATGCCACTGACTGTGTTGGTTTTATGTGAGAAACTTTGATTTATTGTGTTTACAATTGAACACAAAAATTTAAAGCGAAGCTCAAAAAGTTTGTTATGTTTCACACAAAGAAAAAATGTTAGTTACACAATTTCATTTAGTGACCAATATGAAAAAAATATTGGTCTTAAAACTTTACTCTGCTGCGAAAAAATGCAGATGTATAGTTTCACACTGCAAAAAATGCTAGTTGTAGAGTTATCAAACAATTGTTTGTTTAGCAAGTGCAAGAATGTGTGACTAGCAGTTTTTGTCAGCCCGGTTATCTACCCATAAAAACATTTACTCGTGCATACATACAAATAATCAACTTGCAGGATTTTGAAGCTTTCATTTGAGGTTTCTTCTGTAAATAACACTTTGATAATAACTTGAGAGCAATTGTCCGCTAGCTAATGATTTTGATGTTGCGCTGCTTTGTCCTCGTTTAGAGGTATTGTCTCGTAAAAAAAACTCGTTTAGAAGTATGGTACCGCAACACTACTTACGATCTCATATCAAAATCAGTCTAAGAGTTTTGAAAAAAAAGTTTATATATTTTGCCAGTAAACTAATATGCCAGACATCACTCATTCTAATAACTGTTTAATACTCATAAGAAGTAAGCAATAAAAAGTATTCTTAAATAATGTTTCAATAACTAATAAAAACATATTAATTTAATAAGCAGTTTCTATTTATCATTTTGGAGTGGCAGAATGGTGAAAGTTTTCATTCAATCGGAATTGCCTAAAACTGTTAAAAAAATTATGTTTGTTTTGCAGAAAAACTAATTCAAAATTAACAGACTGCAAAAAACCATATCCCAATGACACAGCTAGTTTTTTAAACATACCATTTGAATACCACGATTTGTACATCATCACGATTTATTTTCCTACTAGTGGACAAAAATTGATGTTGATTTTTAAACAAATTATCCACCCACATGCCATAAAAAGTATCAAATGATAGAATCACCCATAGTTACAGAGCTTTTGTATCACATAGTCTGCTTTAACTAATTTGAAATGATTTCCAAGACGGATTAAAAGTCCGTTGATGCGTTAATATGTTGATGGCGCGAAATTTTAACTTTCACAAATTGACCAAATTGGCAATCTTCAAGCCCCATAAACTTACGAAAAATTATCACAGGACAATATTGTTGCAAATTTGAGCTCAGGACAACAATTTTTTTCTAATGGTATAGAAAATCCCGTCAAAAATTGAATTAGGTCTGGAGAAAAAACTAACCGGAACGCAAATATTTAGTCTATTTCTTCAAAAATCGGAACAAAAATCTGCTGCGGCCATTTTTTGCAATTTTAGCAAGCTGAAAATTTGCAGATTCGATAAAATTATTGCTCGTCATTTACTAGTTTTCTGTTAATGCGTAATGTGAGCGCCAAAAACACCCAACTTAAAAATCAATCCAATTGAATCGGTACGAGCGCTAATTGATCGAATTTTAACACGTAACGAGCTGACGAATGGATCATTTTTACTTGATATTGGGTATGGGAGAAGAGTTTAAAAAAGTTTCAACTTAATTTTTGGAAAGTTGTCATTGTTAAGCAAAAACTACTTCAGATGTCCTAATGATAGGATGGGTAAGACTTTTTTCTACTGTGTAACGCAAACAAAACTGTGTTAGACGCCGAAAACATTGTTTTTGGGTTTTTCAATATTTTTTTATTCTTCTAGGCTTTTTGAAGGCAAAATGAATTTTTCTCTTCAAAATTTAATCGATTGTTGATACTGAAAATCTGTTTTTGATCTTATCTTTATAACGGCACGCATTGGTGTTTTGAAGATTCATTCTAACATTTGTGTCTGATTAGTTGAAATGAATCATAACAGAATAAAAAATGAATTTTGAAAATTAGGATTGATAAAATTAAAAAACTGTAATTTCTATGCACGGCTGAAAGGTGTGAAAGTTTTTTGATAAACTTAACTGTCATGCGATTCAAAGGCAAGTTGTGAAATAAAAGACAACTCGATTGTTGAGTCAGAAGATAAAGTACAAAGAAATGAGGGGACCTTAGATGTATATCAAGAGCCACTTCAGGGAAGAACCGCGATTACACCCAAATTGAAAAAAGAAGATTAGAGAAAGTTTGCTTTTATTGGCATATGATTAACCTAGTTTTCCCGGAAGAATAAATATAAGGTAGACAAGTTAAAAAACTGGTACCAAGAGCATGTTTTAAGACTAAATTTTACGTACACACTGTATACCAACAGGAATGTTTTTATCATATTTATCGCGGGGCAAAATAATTTAGGCATGGTTGAAATTGGTTATGGAAATTTGATTTTTTCATATTCTTTGTTGCCAAATGCGAACAAAGCCGACCAGGGCGATTCCTTAGTGGTAACAATGCTTATCCCAAAAGCAGGAGGGGGG